TAGGGGCACCCCACAAAAATTTCCCATCCTCTCTAGTCAGTCAATCTGTCATCCTCTGCCACCTGCAGTTTGGTACATCCTGTTTGTCAGCATGTCGGAGGCCTTCTGATTTCCCGTACGGTACTGCCAGTGATCGCCGTGGCGTATTCAAGAGCATCACCTTCTTCCATTGAGGTCCATCACAGCTATGGCATTTGTTGTGCCTTATGTTCCCAGTTCTGTCTCAAAATATAACAATCATGTAGAATGAGGGTAGTGGAGTGACTCTGCCAATTATGCACCAGGCAGAGCACATGTTATCCCCCGAGTTCACACTTCACTTCCTTTGACAGTCGTGAAACTTCAAGTGTAGCCTGTGTAGGCAACCCTGGTTTCAGCATCAAGCTGTAGCAGGTTGTCATTCAAATTATTCCCGCTCCCGTAGGTACCAGTAGGCTGAACAGGGATCCTAAGCTCAGCCCTTATTCTGGCTTCTGGGGTGCATTCAGTCACAGCCCCCCGCAGGGGTTTCAAGCTTAGCTACCATCATGTAGCGGATTACAACACAAGAGTGATACATTAGCTCAAGGACTCCTCAAGATCCCACGAGCTGCTGTACTTGTTGACTTCGTACAAATGTCAGTAAAGTATCCTTGTGCAAAGGTCTGGTCCTGCTACCGCATGAGATCTCAGTCCTTGTTCAGCTAGCAGAGGGAGACCAAAACTGCACTCACGGAGTTACGAGTCCTGAGGTACAAAGGATGAGTCCTTACGCACAAAATTGAGTGGTTTGCCGAACGCAAGCATTGTGGGAACAAGATCCCGAAAAGTTGTGAGAATAGTTTTGTGTGAGCCCATACACATTTAAATGTTTGATTCTATGTCCGCTTGTAGTGGTGACTACAAATTGACTGAAAAATCAGTTTTATAGTGTCTGTTACACTTCTGTTTGTCCCTCACTCAGCACCACTGTACCAAACCTCCTAGCTTCTCAATATGAGCTTTTGACTATGTAACATGTGTACCAGAATATTGTCCCAATTTTCGGTGCGTTGCACCATGCTCTGTGGTCTTGCATCATCAGAGACCCTGTGTTATCATGGGAATTGACTATGTGCGGCAGTTGACACAGATATATGATGCTGATATGTAAGACTTGTTTTGAAATTGTTTAGTCCTGCAATAGACGGTAAGGAATACCAAATATGACATTAGCTGCCATTAAGGGGTATATTTTTTCCCGTAGGCAACCTTTCACTCCATGTTATATGTGATGACAGATAACATATATGGGAATGGCTACCACCCGAGAGTTATAACTTGAGTATATAACATGAGTGTATTCAACACAATATGCCACATATGGCTCAGCATATGGGTACTTGTGATATAATTTACCAGATTCACACACCAGAATCCACTTCAGCCTGTGAACAATATGCCATATATGGCTTTCAATCGATATTGAGTGCGCCGCCGGTGGCAACAGACACCACCACTCAGTGGCAACAGGTGGTGCCACTGAGTGGCACCACCCCTTTGCCGCTCCTACCTTGCATGCTGCTCACACATCAGGAAAATGCAAAACTGCCTTCAGCATCTTAGCGCAATATTTTAGCATTTAGGTGCCCGACTTGGCTTATTTTTCCTTATTCAAGCCTCAAGAAGGCCACAAGCACCCAAAAAGTGGGCACTAAGACGTAGTTAACCCAAATCAAGCCAAGTCCCTGGCCAAAGTCGGGTAATGCTTTGCTGATGCACTGATGAAGGCATCTCCATGATATAACTGAGTGGACACATCAAGTAAAACCAGGCAAATTATTGTGTGATAAAATACAGAGAGTATGCATGAAAGTTGTCATGACTGATTGTGAATCTACATGGCCGGAGAAGCCACTGCTGCATCAAGTGTGAGAAGGGGGGGCAATGACAATACAATACTCGATGTGGTATCACAGCATGAGGTAGGAAGTTTTTGAGATCGTTCATCCATACAGCCTGAGTAAGAGGTGTAGCTGTACCATTCTTGATTTCCATGAGTCAATCCTGATACCATATCTCTGCCCCAGTCATCCAGTGGCCCGCAAAATGGTACGGACTCGACCCACATGTATTTGGCTTTGGCCACCATAAGAACTCGGCCATCGTACCATTTCCTGGAAAGCTATATCAGTACTTGTTGACATCCAAGATCCTGGACACTTATGGATAGGGATAAAGTACTTGCCAATGAGGTAGTCCTCCTCCTCGGGGCTTAAGACATCTTCATACCACACCTCATTTTCATTGATGGCTGCCACAAACGTTACACCATAACTGGTCTTTATAACTGTCTAGCTCAGACTGCGCCCGTTATCAAATCTCAGTGTTCAATATTTTACACAATCAAGAAAATAGCAAAACCTCAATACAAGATTTCCTTCCATTCCTTTATTTATCCACTTGTGAGTCTCCAGTGGTCCGGTCTTATTTCTCATCCATTAATTTATTCGGCGATGCACCAAGTCCATTGGGTGAAGATATTCATAGCAGTGACAGCCAAATACGAGATATGCCAATCCCCTTCTTTGCTGCCACCAAGAAAAAGTACAAACCAGTCACCAAGAAGGTCCAGGTGGTCCCTGCTATGTTGCCCAAGGAATTTAGAATCCAGTGTGGGTGACCTGCTGGCTGATATGCTGATTTTATCTTTGATTCCTCCTCCATTTCAACCAACCGGATTTTATTATTCTAAGTCTTCCTACACACTCCACTATGTCATCTTACTCCTCCCCTCTCCCTCAAACTTTATTATACCCACCTCGACCCATACTGCTGGGTGTGATAGGTTATTTCCCTTGGTCTTTGTGATTGTTGTGTGTTAGTACATATCAATGCAATATTACTTGGGAATGGTTGTATTGCTTGGTCAACCAAGAAGCAGACAACTACTGCCTTGTCAACTGGAGAAGTGCAGTACTATGCCTCTGTCCACATGGGTCAGGAAGGTCTCTGGCTAGGTCAACTCCTGACAGAAATTGGTTTCCCTCCCTCTTGTCCTACTCTTTGTCGAACAGACAGTATGAGTTCTCTTCGCATGATCCATTCTCGTGACGATATCTCCAGCCACTCTTAGCCACCAGTGGGCCACCACTGGCTATTAAAGTGGCTTGCCGATACAGCCACTGGTGGCCCAATCATATACCGGATGATCCCGAATTGTTGAACTAGGCGCTGACTTAGCTGCCAGGTTCTACAACGTACCAGAACATACCGGAACCCTCTGGAATATTCTGGTATATTCCATTATTGTACAATGGCACGGAACTCATGTGGGTCAGTGACATCATAGGTGGAGCTCAGTAGGATTATAGATATTCCACGTAGCTTAGTCAGCCTATGGGCCACTGTGTATATAAACCCTGCAGCTCTGCTGCCTAATAACAAGGGTCGTTCATACGAGCTTTACCAGTAGCTACAGCATCCAACCAATACAGGTGAGTTGTGTAGGGCGCACTGTGCGTGCTGCTGCCTCCATAACTCTTCATCACGAATCAGGTATATCACACCTTTATGCTATGTGTTATGCTATTTGCATCCATATTCCAGATTCACTATCAACCCGAGATGTGCTTTGATATTTTAGCTAGGATTCATTGTACTGTATCAGGTCAAAAACCTGACTTCCCCATTGTTCCATATATTTATCCTTATTTGCTCTATCACTGAGTATATCTCCGGAAATCAATATTCAAATATGGTAATACATTTGTTTCTACTTGATATTCCCAGACATTGTCAATGTAGGGGATCATATGTGGCTCAGCTCCCATATGGGGAGTATACGATTGTACATGGTGGTTGTGTGGAATTCATAATATTGTATTGACATATGGGGCCGATTGCCACCACATATCATATTATCAGTTGCTCAATGTGTGAAGGTGCGGTGCTGGGGTCCTTGACGTACCGGTTGGGATTGGAGCACTCTGATTGGCTTCCGTATTGCTGTGGCACGACTGTGCGTGACATAGGTACTTGGGTATTATCGTTGAATGCACTGCATGGCTATGTCACCAGTGCACTTATTGGATGATGATAGTTGACTACATCTGTCTGCAAAGCTTAAGGGGAACTATCTGGTATAATGATGGAAAGGTGACAGGCTGCAGATGTACATTGGATGGAAGTATCAGATATCAGTGTCAACTCAGAGAACTTCAAGTTCAACACATGTTGAAGAAAGATACACCGGTAGTAATATACTGCAGGCAATACAAATACTAAGACAGCCTCAGGACTCATGAAAATGCCATGTGCAGCAGTGACCTGCTTCCCCCAAGTTCATGCCATTGGATACCAATGACCTTGTAGCTACTTCCAGATCTTCCTCATGCCCCATGGCCTGCTTCAACCAAAACCCTACATAGGCAAGATACCCTACACTACAGGCAACACACTGTCATCTGGAAGCTTACTTTCGGGCAGGCCATCATGGGGATCACTTTTATGAGAATTTGTATCAACCTTCCCTTTCTTTGGTGGCAAAGTGTTGTGCATGAATACTACCACGCAGAGAGTTATGAATGCGACAAATGCAAACATGAACCAGAAGCCTGCAGAGCGTCCATAGAAGGATCGAGGACCTCCGTGTTCAGCTTCCACGCTGATCTGAATTGAAGTGATGACTGCAGTGCCGACAGCGCAGCTTACTTGAAGGGCGCAGTTGAAAATGGCGCCTGCCATGCCCGCGACTGCAGGAGGGGTAACAGCGAAGACTCCCATACTGTGTAACATAGTCATCCTGCTCAGCAACTGCTTGCCCAGTATGGAACGAGATGGATACACACTTTACGGTGGCAAAAATCATTGTACTCCCTGACGTGCCAACAAGAAGTCCTGGAAAAACGAAGGACCAATAGCGATGCGGCGAGTTTCCAAAAGCCAGAAGAGCCGTGCCCACAAGACACAGAATCTGTCCAATGAGCATGACATACTTCAGCGGGAGAACTTTCTGCATAATATTGGTGGCTCCCACGACAGGGAACCCCATAAGGCCGATGGGCAAACTATAGAAGCTTATCAAATAGGTTCAATTCCATGAGACACGATACTCACAAATGTACAGCAGTCATTATTGTGGTCCATCCGAATATCTCCTGCCAATACCAAGAGAGGAGCATTTGCACAGTTCCCCACCACATGAAGGGTATGAGCGCCGTAGCAACGATGATGCTGAAGTTCTCGTAAAACCACATCTTCGGAGGTCTTTAGCACCGGTTTCATCAGTGGCGGGATAAGACACTGGAAGAACAAACAATACACACAAGGATGCGAGACTTTCTTCAATCCTAGCCTCCCAGACAAAGAAGATAACTGCCAAAACTACTGATATTATCAGCGGTGCAATAGCACCGGCGGTGCGCCAACCATTGATAGACCCAGATGTGACAGCATACACAAGCAGGATCAAGGCGACTGCACAAAAAATGACCAAGAGTCAATAAACGATTGTAGAAGGAATCACAATTGCTCTCACCTGTCAAAAGAGATACTCCGAAGAGGTCGATTCTCTTAAAGCGAGTTGCCTTCTCAACAACAGACAGAGAAGTTTCCCTGCGAGACGGTACCAAGAGTAAGACAGCAACAGATATGAAGAAAGCCACAATGGCAACGAAATAGAACACCCATGGCCAGGATGTATAAGTGACCAGTAGCGCGCCTATGATGAGCCCAATAACTGATACCGCGCGGTGTAACTAAAAAATTAAAGCGTCTGCATACGGGATGGTATTGCGCACCGTTGCCCAAAGCTGCGGAGCCCGCAAATATGTTCATGGCTTGCGCCTGCTCCGTTGGCTTCGGATACATATGGACAATAAGGTGTAATGCGGACGGGACCGTGAGCGCAGCACCTGCAGTGTCTTCAGCATAGTCTTGGGACGTGAGAAAGCCCAACGTACCGACACCCATGAAAGCTCTTAGTACAATCAAAGGCACTTGAGAGCGCACAAAGCCTGCACCAAGTGCGAAAAAGCTCATAGGTGCAGCACCGGCAATGAAAACGATCTCTGACATACCAGTATATCAGTAAACTCGTGTCTGCCACTCAGGTAGTACGTACTGGGGTTATAGAGGTCGCTTAACCGTCCACTCTGCATCGCTGGAGTGTGAGTCATTGCATGCGGTATGCATAGTGAGCGACTACGTACTATAAGAAGAAGAGCGGCAAATGTTAGCTGGTAAGCGCTTAGGAGCCATACGGAGTTGCTGTTGGATATCCCCAAGGCCGCTGAGATAGGTGGGATTGCCGCAAATAAAGCAGAATTGTTGAAAGTGTCCAAGAACTGGGCGAAACAGAAAATTGCCAGGAGACACTTCTTTCGCGCTGGCGATTGTAGCGCGAGGATATTCTCTGTAATAGCTACATGGGTTTCCATAGTCGATGCTTAACTTCCGCGGACGCGTGATGTCGAGACACTGGTGGACTTGAGTTACCTGGGATGGCAGGATATGAGGGAAGGCGTAAGCACAAGCACCGGTGCTATGAAGCCTTTACAATGTGGAGAATCATCAGGCATCAGCGGACTCCAGACTTCACAACACCCAGATCAGATCCTGTCAGATGTCATAAATTAAGTCCACGGCAAAAGTCGCTGCGTATCTTAGGCGCGCACCATTATAAACAGGCGGTCAACGCGGAATGTGATCGAAGGAGGAAAGCATCCGGATAGTCCTTTGAGCTTAACTGGCACTGACAGGTGCTCACCGTCGCTCAAGCGCAGGCAGCGCAGCTTCCGGAACACCACGAAAAGCCATTTAAAATCCAAGAGCTTCAGGGCACTGACAGGCAGGGAAAACTAGGTTTCGGGCCGAAGCCTGAAATTCATATCGGAGAGGCCTATCTGTCAGCGATGCCCATACTGTGCTCTGTCTCGATTCGTTTGTCATAGTCTACTAGTATGGATGGGGACCAATGGACGATCAGTTACAGCATACTTCAACCAGCAATGACATGCCGCAACGCACACGACCTCGCATGCGGGTTTCGTGCTTAATGGGCACCTACCTTCACCGGTGGGTTCTATATGAAAATCAGCAAGTTGAACAGCTCACCATGCACTGCCAGTGGTATTCTCACGCCTCGAATGGTTCCCGGAATCTTCTGATCCTCGTTGTCAGATCGTGGCATAGCGGTGCGCAGCCTGAGGCAAGGATTCCTGAGCAATACTTCCAACTTCCTCCTATCTGGGTACATCTATTACTATGATCACCAAGATTTTATCGCACCTGGCGTATGACTTGGAGGGCTCGTTACTTGTGTCAGCTCTGCAGAGACCAGGAATCACTCTTTGTTCAGGCGTGGAAATCGATGTCGTCCCAAGGAAGCATCCTGTTATTGTGGGAGTGGCGCAGATGAACTATTTCGCGAGTGGCAGGAACTTGAAGCACTTGCGCAGTCTGAGGCTGGAATATGTTTCACGGCAGCGGAACTCCATAGTCATGATAGAGAACTCGTGAGGGTGATTAAACACCGAATCCTATTGCAAGGGAATCATGTCGCGGCGGTCCGTACCCGGATTCCCCTGATGGATCCGTGGTAGACGAATAATTAGAGGTCTTACCAAAGGCCCGTCATGACGTGCTTTCGCCTTTCTCGACTCCTTCCTTAGTGATATCACTGATATGTTCCCTCGGCAAATTTTTTGCTTAAGGGAGAGGGGATGAGGCATTTGGCATTTCGTGATTGACTGTGACTGTCTATCGTGTGACCTAACCTGTGGGGATAGGCATCGGGACTTGTCCTCCCCTTTCCCACAAGCCCACCATCTGGTTCGAGACTAGAGATCATTATATATAATGGCCCTGCCTCGGTGCCATGAAGGTGAGTTCAAACTGAAAGACCTTCTCAGTGCAAAGCAACATCCTTCTCCAGTATCCGCCCAGTCTCAGAAGCAAATGCGTTACGGTGAGCGTCTGACTCCCATATAATGATTTTCACTGATGAATAGTCGCTCGTTCAGTGACCCTTGGGAGCTCCGGTCTCCGAGTGTCTGCTCTGATCATGGGCACTATGCAGTACGGAAGTGCTGAGTGGCAACCATGGATAATGGGAGAAGAAGACGCATTGATCCATATCAAGGCAGCGTATGTATCATCAGTGGTTGCTTTTGACCTTGTACCGACGTTGCATGTACCACTAGTTACGACGCCGGAATACAAACTTTCGATACAGCTGATGTGAGTGCTGAAATTTGGTCCACTGTCTCTGTCGAGCGTTTGCGGAACACAGGTATATTCCAACGGGCAATCTGAGATCGTCCTCGGCAATGTTATCAAGAAGTTGGGCCTTCCGAGGGATGAAATCGTCGTAATGACCAAGGTATCGAATGTTATACATTCACCGGGATATTTCTGACGTGATCGTCAGATATCTCGGGTGGTCGCAAGAGAGCCAGGCCACTGGTTTGTTCACAGCAATCGCAACCCCGAGGACTACGGCTACGTCAACCAAGGAGGATTAAGTCGCAAGGTGCATTTTTAGCCTCTTCAATCATGTCTCCGCCCCTCAACCAAATTTTTACTTGTTCAGCATATATTTGCAGCTGTGAAAAAAAGCCTTGAAAGGCTCCAGCTCGATTATGTCGATGTTCTGCAATGTAAGTATTGTGCGATACGGATAACCAGTTATCTGATGCATATTTGCTGCTAAGGCCACCGAGCGGACCCGATAACGCCGATTTCTGAAACAGTAAGAAAGTGGGATATTGAATGAGTGTCCGCTGTCTTGACATGCCATAGATGCATGCTCTTCATGATATTATCAAAGAAGGATATGCACGTTATATTGGAATGGGGTCCTGCTGGGCCTGGCAATGTAGGTGATAGTCGAGACCTCCTCACTTTCAATTGTCTGACCCTCTTATGTATATTAGTTCATGCAATGCAAAGTTTGTACACTGTTTGTCCAGTGGGAAATATCTAAATGCCTACACCAGACTACGCCATAGCAAATGGACTCACCCCATTCATCAGCATGCAGAACCAGTACAGCCTCCTGTATCGCGCTGATGAAATGGAGCTCTATCCAACCTTGAAGGTGAGGTTTTTTCAGTAATTACAGTCCCACCAGATGACCCAACAGTCAATCAGCTCTTTGGTACTGCCTCAATACCGTGGTCGCCGCTTGCCCGAGGCCTGCTAGCGCGACCTTTTGGCGAAGAATCCCGGCGCGGACAATCCGACAAGTACGCCTGTCTCTAGTTACTTTGAACGATCCAATGTGTCAATGGCGCATTCTAGATTGGTGCACATCTACAAGTCAGGCCCGACTGAAGACAAGGAAGTAATCAAACGGTCTGTGCTGTCTTAATTCCCAGAAGTGCAGATACCAATGTTTCTATGCTTCGCAGAGTTCAGGAACTCGCGCAAAAGAAGGGTCTTAGCATGGCAAGGGTCGCTCTAGCATGGACATTGCGCAAGCCTGGTATGTCTTCGTTGCTTTAGGGCCTCGGGCTAAATCCCGAGCGGCATACGCGTAGGTGTTACTGCCCCGATAGTTGGGCCGACCTCAGTTGAGCAGCTACATGATCTTCTTGGTAATATTCTCTTCATATCCATGATACATGTCAGCTGACATCCCGGCAGGAGCCATGGAGGTGGATTTGTCAGATGATGAGATGACATACTTGGAAGAGTGTTATCGCCCGCGCATTCTCTTGGACCATGAGTAACACAACTACAACGCTAGTGGTACATTCAATCGCAGTTGGGCAATGCGTCCAAGTGTAGGGTGCATCAGTGCTATGAAATGGCATTGGCCTGCCGTCGTCTCGATACAGTGTCGCGCAGTGACTTGAATGCGCTGCGCGGCTTTATTTGTGCACCAGAAACCGAGATAAAACATCTCTGAATGTGGGTTCCAATAATCTGAAGATGCAGGTTAATAGTCCATATCTTCGTACCCTCGGCAGAGACCGAAAGCATCGAAAGAAATTCCAATACTATGATCAGTATGTCACCCAGACGGCTTGAGCGTGTGATGCGCGTGCGACACCTTCCTGGTGGTTCCATCTCATGATGCAGTCAACAAGCTGTAACACTGATGCTCCTTGCTTCTGATCAGATTCTTGATTCTCCTGTCGAACAAATAGCGGTGATACAATCTTTCCATAGAAGTCCAATAAATCGAATGATGGCTCGCTGAACACTGAAACTCCGGCCGGGCTTATCTCAGTGCATGCCATTGGGTGTTCAGGTCTGTCAGTTCTAGATCTGATAAATGACAGAACGGTCCCGGCGTATTTACTCGGACGGACACGGAATGGTGATTTCTTCAGCACAACGGATGCTCTGTGGGGCTATATAAGATAAGACACATCTTGTCCCTGGTCAGGGTATCCAACGGATACTCGGTGCTCAGCTCTCAAGTCTTAAACATTTGCAGAAAATGGCGTCGACAACCGCCTCGAATGTGGTATGTAATGTGCTGAGCTCGGTGAAGTTTCTGCTCAAACATCGTGCCACAAGCCCGAAAAAGCATCTATCCTTGTCATAGGAGGAGGCCCCGGAGGAAGTTACACCGCGACCGTACTGGCGCGAGAAGGACTGGATGTGGTCCTTCTGGAGGCATCTAAGTTTCCAAGGTTAGAATGTTCAGCCATTGGCGTACAGCATGTCTCACTCTTCAGTTTCTCAGGTATCACGTTGGAGAGGGAATGCTCCCTTCCATGAGACATTTCCTAAGATATATTGACCTCGAGGATGAGTTCCACAACCATGGTTTCATGCACAAGGTTCATGACATCCTGCACCAATAACACTGCCTGTTCATCATGCTTATTCTTGCGGATATAGCCTGGTGCATGTTTTGTGCTTAATCAAGGGTTACAAATGACCTGTGTGTATCCTTTCAACTGTCTCCTCAATTCAATGCAACTGAAGTCATTCCATGTAGACACAGATTTCTCAGCCCTTGGTCCAAGCATGACCACGTGGAATGTTGTGAGTTCACATATGTTTGACGAGAGATCAATTCAGCTCCTAACCATCTGTAGATCCGTTCCGAGTCTGATGAAATGATGCTATGCCATGCATCTCGGCAGGGTGTCAAGGTGTTTGAAGAGACAAGGGTGGAATCGATTGAGTTTCGAGATGGGGAATCCTCTGGGAGGCCCATAGCAGCAACATGGAAGAACAAGGAAGGTCAATCTGGAAGGATTCATTTCGAGTGGCTTGTAGATGCCTCTGGGAGAGCTGGTATCATGTCCACCAGGTACTTGCACAACAGGCAGTATAGGGAAGGTCTGCGGAATATCGCGGTCTGGGGATATTGGAAAGGTGTGAAGATCAACCAGGCTGGTACCAGACGGTCCAATGCACCTTGGTTTGAAGCTATGTCCGGTAAGGTGCCTTTGGCTTTGGAAGTCATCTTCAAGCTAAGACTCACATAGATGAACTTGGCTGGGCATGGCTGATCCCTCTGCATGATGGCACCACATCCATTGGTGTAGTCATGCATCAGAATATCTCTAACAAGAAGAAGGCAGATTATCCCGGAGGTCGACCAACTTTGACTGAACACTATCTTGACCAGATGAAGTTCTTGCCTGGTGTGCTAGACTTGATTGGCAATGAAGGATCACTAGTTGAAGGCAGCATCAAAAGCTCCACTGACTACAGCTACCATTCCTCAAGCTATTCTGGAGACCATTTTCGGATCCTAGGCGATGCAGCATGTCTGTCCCTTTGTTTCTGGGTGAATTCATCTTGACTTACCAAGACTAATTAGCCTTTGTTGACCCTTTCTTTGCATCTGGGGTACACATTGCAATGACAGGTGCATTGTCTGCAGCAACTTCAATCTGTGCTTCAATGAAAAGCCAAGTTACCGAAACCCAGGCTCAACAGTGGCATAACACCAAAGTTGGAATTTGTCACACTCGGTGAGACTAGATGCCAGAGGATATGATAAGCATGCTTAAGACCACCTAGGTTTCTTATCATTGTGTTGAGTGCATACAAACAGATGCAGAATCAGCGTCATGCTATTCTATCAGATGTCAATGACAACAACTTCGACAAAGTATTTTCTTTCTTCAAGCCTGGTCAGTGCCATACCTGTGGCCCCCTCCATGCTTGCTAAAGCATATTTCAGTCATACAAGGCTTTGCCGACACAACCCCAGAGCTTACTGACTCCAAACTCGATAGCCTCATTGACTTCTGCATTAACCTCTTCGAGCGTACAAAAGAGGAGGAACACATTTCCGTTGCCAAAAGGGTGCAACCTGATTTACTCTCACTGCAAGGACCAGCCATGGGTGACAAGGAGCTAGATGAAGCTGTGGGACCTGAAGATGTTGAAGCAAAAAGAGTTCTTAGTCGCATCAATGCCCTGAAGATTTTACAAAATGATGTTAGCCCAGTTGGGTTTGGCAAGGAAGCTGTGGATGGTTATGTTGTGCGGTTGAAGAGGGGAGAGCTGGGTCTCGTAAAAGAGTCTGTCATGTAGATGTGACGATGGACTCCCAAACCAGCTAATCTTGGCTTTCTTTTGTTGTTGGTACATTGATGTACAAATACAGCAGACAAATCTTCATTTATCATTTGAGGCTGATCAAGTACACAGATTTAAGCCAAAGTAATCAGTCACAAGAATTGAACATGAGAAAGAGGAAAGCCAGCAATCATACACAGTGCAACACTTAATGCAATTCCCAGTGGGCTGGGGGTGACAGCATGGTGGTTGTGAGGACTGCAACATGGGGCATGGTTGATTACTGACTCTCCTGTAACTTACGGGTTTAATAGGTATGCTACAATATACGCTCAGCATCGTACGCTGAGCTTACGGGTTTAATAGGTTATGAGCCCAACTGGGCGCTAATCATAGGTCGGGCGAGAATAGACTTTAAGCTCTCTCAAGATGTCGACTTCGCACCAAGTCATACCCATGGAGCCCAAGTTACTCGGGTCTGAGAACTGGCTCATATGGAAGGAGAAGATACGAAACGCTCTTGATGCCCGCGGACTCCTCGACATCGTTGACGGCATCGAGACGTGCCCCTCTGAAGCCGCAACGACCACGCCAGCCCTGAAGGATGCAGAAACTGCCTCGCAAGTAACGACTAGCCCCAGTCTGTGGGATCGACGGAACGCGATGGCTTGCTCTCAGATCATGCTCAACATCTCCGATGAGGAGATTCCAATCACGATGGGATTGAAGTCTGCCAAGGCTGTGTGGGATGCACTCCATAAGAGATTCGAGTCTACGTCTACTCTATCCCTTACGCTGGCCCTAGCTGACTTCTACGAGAAGAAATTTCTCGCTGGCAATGATCTCCGGGCGCACCTCAACAAGCTGAAGATGCTCCAGTCAACTATCAACACCAGGGGCAGCAATCTCGATGAAAAGGCACTGAACAGCTGAATCGTCAGCTCCATCCTCGACCCATCCTGGCCCCACATCATCGAGACTATCGATATCTCCAAAACCGACTCCGACTCCACCATTGCCCGTCTCCTCAGCATCCTTGAGGCGCGCGATGATAAGCCTCAGGATCGTCTGACCCCCGAAAATGCGGACTCAGCACATCGTATAAGCCCCCCGGAGCTTATTCGACACAGCGCTCACATGCCTCTAGGCTTCTATGGGCTCTAAAGGAATTTTTCTATTTAGCTCCGGACTTCCTAGCATCCCAAGACGTACACAGACCCATTCCACGATTTATCTCCGCAAATGTAAGCTCCGGGGTGACTTAACCTATGCAACTTTTAGATGAATTAGCTCCGGGGCCCGCGGACACTTCTATTGAGGGGTGTCATCCTCATGCCCACCCTCCAGCACACTCCCCCTCTCATTTCCATCAAACTACCAAAGGTGCAGATGCATACGAGTCACCATGAGGCCAGCATCAGTCAGCAAGTGGCCAGAGGTAATTAGCACGTGACCGGCACATCGCACGGAGTGATGGGACCGCTTGGGTCAGGTGGCGGAGCGTCGAGGCGACCTCTAGGGGCTGGGACAAGCAAGTGGGAGTGCAAGAGAGTTGTATGGTGTATGGTATAACAGCGGCAAGTGCTGAGCAATCCTGTGGGTAGCAGCGGTTATTTGTTATTTATCTCCGGACGGTCGCAAAGCCATTTGTGTAGTATAAATTGTACCAAGTAGCGTACAGAGAAACAGGTTTTTGCACTTCACCATCTCAGAGAATTAGTGTTACAATCTCAGCGACCCTCGAAGTTCGAAAGTGTCAAACTTAGCAAATTATAACTGATCCTAGCTTTGCCAATAGGCCTGACTTGTCGAGTGATTTATCTCTGCTGTCGGTTTAATTATCTCCGGTGCATCCTACATAGTGAAATAAAATTAACCAAGTCTCTCTAGCAATTTCTACCCCCGCGAGCACGATCCTACGACAGGTGTCTTTGCTTGCAACTTTGATTGCGCCTCTTCGGAGATAGATACTCCAGAGCGTCAACTAGCATTTGTTTTATTTTTCTAGGTCTTCCTATGGACTACCCTACCATGTCTTACTCCTCCTTCCCCCTCGAACTATTAAAATACCCCTCAGTTGTCTCGGACCACCTCCACCCATACCGCTGGTGTTAGGTTTATTTCTTTTGGTCCTTGGTGATTGTTGTGTGTCAGTGCATATCAGCAAGAAGCAAGATGGGGAGATTGCACTCAAGACAGGTTTCCAAGGCAAATGCAATGGTGGTCGTGGAGGAAATAACCAGCGAGGGGGAGGAGGTCGGAACTAGGGCGGGAATCGGAATGGAGGAGGGAGCAGCAGGAATGGCAGTCATGGCGACAGTGGAGCAAGCAGTGGCGGAAACGGTATTAAGTGCCACAAGTGCAGTCAGTACGGTCATATTGCTAAGGGTTGCAGGATGCCGCGTCATCCGGAGGGGGATGGCAAGGGTACTTCGTCATCCGGAGGGGGATGGCAAGGGTACTTCGTCATCCGGTAGTCAGTCGAACCAGGCAAATATTGCGCAGGCGGACCGCCGGCTTTCACTCTATTGTGAGGCAGCAAATCTATCAACATCTCACAACACCGGCTGGGTGGTCGACTCCGGAGCTACAAGCCACATATCCCGGGACAGAGCAAGCTTCTCGATGTACCATTTGTCACCCGGGACAATTGATACAGCAGCAAAATGTCAGAGTCTAAATTCTCTAGGACTCGGGCGCGTATCGCTATGCATTATGTACAACGGCAAAGCTACGGTACTCGACCTCAACAACACGCTCCATGCCCCAGATGCCTCCCACAACCTTATCAGTCTCCCGAAGTTCGATGACGCTGGCGGCACCGCGATTATTGGCGACGGCAAACTCTTGCAGTTCGACGTGAAGCCCCGCGATATCCTCAAAAGCAAGGCCACACCTATCGCTACCGGCAAGAAGGTCAGAAACCTCTATTGGCTGGATGCCAAAGTTATGCACGACAGCGATGCACCTGCTCAAGCTTTCCTGGCTCGGAAGATGGATCGGAGCCTCTGGCATAGGCATTACGGTCACCTCGGTGAAGCTGGTCTCAACGAGCTGATACAGAAGGACCTCGTCAATGGTCCACCTGTTGCTGTAGGATTAATGTATTAGATCCCCTTTGTTATCGTAAAGCCTTTTACATTAAATAGCCTTTACAACTGTCTGTAATGTATTAGATTTCCAAGTACCCTATGCAGTGTCAGGCAGCCCTGCTGAGCTTGAATACGACAGCCCCGGCATCCCCGGCATGGAGATCCAAATCGGGATTTGATCTGAGCTGTTGCCAATGATAGGTGGGTAGCCATACCTGGCCCTGCAGGCACCAGAAAAATACGGAAAAATACGGAAAAATCATAATGTATTTCTTGGGACAGGCATCATGGTGCCGGACCTATACATAGCGTGGGAATGTGTCTAGAGCGCCACACAACAGCTACTAGCAGCTGATATAAAATCAGGACAAATGCGTAAAAATCTGGGAAAAATCATGGAACCTGCTGTGGATAACAGCACACATATGGCATCACTACATTACATCAGCACATGCCAAATATGGCAGAAATTGATATGGGATACCTCCAGGATCTACATTTCAGCCTCTTTCCATATCTGGGGTTTATTTGTCCATGCTGTTGATGTTGTTACTAATGTAGCGGTTAAAATAGTGCATAGGAATAGGGAGTGCTTGTCCTAATCATGTGTAGGTACCATGGGCTGTGCATTGCTGTACAAAAATCATTTTCACCGCTGGCTCTGGGACAGTTTTTCGCATTTTCCCACACTATTGCTATGCCACATTGCTGGGCATTTTGGGGGTCTTACTCAGCCCATATAAGTCTACATGTTTACATAAGACCCCAAGAGATTCTGAACAACAAGCGGCTAACTACCGCTTTTGGGTATTACTCCTCCTACAGACCCCCCATGGCTACCGCTTGTGTTAATATGGGTTATAACACACTCCCCTTGGCGTATATTAGCATTTCCCACCATGCACATCAATGTTGGGCCCATCCAGACCACCCCTTGGTGACTCGGCACCAGTCATCCTCAAAATCACCTATATCACACCACCCTGGGACAGCCAATCAACGGGGCCGTACTCACCTCAGCAGAACGGCATCGCCGAGCGCCTCAACCATACGATGATGGACTGTGTTCGCTCTATGCGGCATGAGTCAGGTCTCCCTCGGAACCTCTGGGATGAGATGGTACGCACTGCGGTCTACCTTAAGAATCTCGGACCGACGGCGGCACTCGATGGCAAGACCCCCAACGAAGTCTGGATGAAGCATAAGCCAGATGTCTCACACCTACGTGCTTTCAGGTGCAAGGCATTCATGCACGTTGATATGCACTGACACACAACAATCACCAAGGACCAAAAGAAAGAAACCTAAACCCCGTGATATGGGTGAAGGCGGTCCGAGACAACTGAAGGGTATTTAGTAGTTCGAGGGGGAAAGGAGGAGTAAGACGCCGTAGGGTAGTCCGTAGGAAGACCTAGAAAAATAAAACAAAACCTTGACGTCTGAAACAAACACTAATGGACGCTCCGGAGTATTTAGTCGCAAACAAAGTCGCAAACCACGGAACCGAGTGTAGGTTCGGGCCCACGGGAGTAGGAAACGCTAGCAAGACTTGTTTAATTTTATTTCGCTATGTGAGACTCACCGGAATCTAATTGAATCGATGGCGGAGATAATTCACTCGACGAGTCAGGCCTATTGGCAAAGCTAGGATCGGTTATAATTCGCTAAGTTCGACGCTTTCGAACTTCTCGGGTCGCTGAGATCGTAACGCTAATTCTCTGAGATGGGGAAGTTGAAAACTTATTTTTCTGTACGCTACTTTGTACAATTTATACTACGGGAATGGCCTTACGACCGTCCGGAGATAAATAACAAATAACCGCCGCTACCCACAGGATTGCTCAGCACTTGCCGCCGCTATACCATGTACCATACGACTCTCGTTTACTCCCACTTGCTCATCCCAGCCCCTAGAGGTCACCTCGACGCTCCGCCACCTGCCTTTAAGCGGTCCCATCATTCCGCGCGACGCGCCGGTCACGTGTTAATTACCTCCGGCCGCTTGCTGACTGATGTTGACCTCATGGTGACTCGTATGCGTCCGCACCTTCGGTATCTTGATGGAAATGAGGGGGAGTGAGTGCTGGAGGGTGGGCATGAGGATGACACCCCTCAATAGAAGTGTCCGCGGATCCCGGAGCTAATCCGGTTAGAAGTTGCATAAGTCGCTCCGGAGCTTCGGTACGCGGAGATAAATCGCGGAATGGGTCCGTGTACGCCTCGAGGATGTTAGGAAGTTCGGAGCTAAATAGAAAAAGTCTTTTAGAGCCCATAGAAGCCTAGAGGCGTGCGAGCGCGGTGTCGAATAAGCTCCGGGGCGCTTGTATGCCGTGCTGAATCCGCGTTTTCGGGGCTCAGACGATCCTAAGGCTTATCAACGTACCAGACAAAAAGCGCAAGAAGCTGGACTACAAGTCATTAGAATGTGTGCTGGTGGGCTACTATCACGGAGAAAGTAAGGCTTACCGTCTCTATCACCCCCCAACTCGCCAGTTCCTCAAATCCCGGGATGTTGTGTTCTTCGAGGACGAGTTGCCGCTTGCTCCGAAGAAGGCAGCGTTCGAGGGGGAGTTAGACGTCGAGTCTGACATTTTATCGAACTCGCCTTCATCTCCACGCCCGCCGCAACCTGCGCAGCCCAACATACCAGCTGTTGAACTAGGCGCTGACTTAGCTGCCAGGTTCTACAATGTACCAGAACGTACCGGAACCCTCTGGAACATTCTGGTATATTCCATTATTGTGCAGGGCACGGAGCTCATGTGGGTCAGTGACATCATAGGTGGAGCTCAGTAGGATTATAGATATTCCACATAGCTTAGTCAGCCTATGGGCCACTGTGTATATAAACCCTGCAGCTCTGCTGCCTAATGACAAAGGGTCATTCATACGAGCATTACCAGTAGCTACAGCATCCAAGCAATACAGGTGAGTTGTGTAGGGCGCACTGTGCGTGCTGCTGCCTCCATAACTCTTCATCACCATGGAGGCAACTCGCTTCACTAAGAAGCCCAAGGTAGAAGCCGTAGGCGGGAGTGGAACACAGGGCCGAGTTCTGGATAGCGACTTCCTGAGGGAGAAGCGGGGAGCTGCCAAGGGTTCCCAGCATCATATTCCGCTGCCTTATAAGCTCCGATGCCCCCTTCCCGAACACAGACCTCGCAACAGAGTTCTGTTGGGAGGCCTGGGGAAAGGCATGCAAGGACCAAGGCATAGATATGGAATTTGGACCACTAGTTGTGAGTATGGTGCATTGTATTGAGGTCTACATTCTCATAGTATGCAACTACTAATATGTCCACGCCTGGTGGCCCTCTATCTAGCTCACTGACCGTGCACCGCAGATACGGGGGAGATAAAGATCAAGGCACGAATGCTTGTCCCATCATACTACAAGCTGCTCGATAAAAACAGCGAGGCGGATGCGCAGACCGTCCGCGCCCATGTTGAGATGATTAAAGACAATGAGGCATTTGTTCACGAGGTGAGCTATCTTCCTGTAATGCCCTGATGCAGCTAAATGGTCTCCTAGAATCTGGAGGTGTGCACGGGCCGCTACAAACACCCTATCATTCAGGCCGTCATCAATGAAACCTGGTATTCAAGCCAACGTGATGAAGGGGTCGAGTACTCTGAGTACTACAGCGAGAAGGTTGCTTTCAACGTCGGGGGCCACCGCAAGTCAGGGTTTGGTATACCCTTGGTTACCATTGCTCTTGTTTTAACTGCCATGAATGTGTCTTTCGTGTGGTCTCACTGCTTCTAATACTGTTTGGCTTCAGGTCCAGTGTGCCCTGGACGAATGGGCCACAGGTCAGAGGAGTGGCGTCGAGTTCAGCGAGAAGGCGTATGGACCTGTCTTTGAACACCACCTGTCGAAGCTCAACATCCTTAAGGAGAAGATGGCTGATATGGAGTATTGATGCTGCAGTCCGGTTCCCGAACCTGGGAGAACCGGTTCGAACCACGGACCAGACCCAGGTTCTGGTTCGCGGTCCGGCTTTGGGGTGGACTGAACCTGAAATGAGGTCCAGGTGGAGCCACAATGCCCGAACCGTACCTAAGTATGGTAATTCTGAAGGGTTCAAACCCGAACCTGACTGGACCCAATGCCATTTCGGGTTCTTTGAGGTTCACGGTCCGGACATTTACCCGAACTGGACCTTAGGTCCGGTCCCAGGTCCGGAAATTTGGGCCAATAACCGGACCGAGCCGGACCGCGGCATCACTAATATGGAGATTGTTGAATGCATTCAGTCCCAGCTTCTGGATGGTGCTCAGTGGGTTTACATCAATATTTTATCCTGAGACAGTAACCAACCACGGAACATAGTGATTTTGCGAAGGTACCGAGTGAAGATTGCGAAGCATCATCGGGCTTTGATGGGACTGAGTTAGAGAACATGCGCAGGGAATGGGCCGCGGCAGTCGCAGGTGTGGAAAACTAGTTCCAGGGCTAATACAAGGAATATAGTATAGTCATGGATGTATCTCCTCAAATATCAAATTTTTTCATTGCTTATACCTGCCCTATGGTGTCTATCGAGTGATATGCATGCCTATACAGCCTCTGCTATGGTGGCTATTGCAGCTATGCATAGTGTCTATTGCAACTGTGGTACTAGCATCAGGAACCTAGGAAATCTCCATATGCTCCATATGGAGTCACACGGAGCCCCGGAGCGACGGAGAGGTCCCCCCATCATCCCGAGACGGCCATCTCCATCCTGAGCCGGACGGAGACAGCATCTCCAGATAGAGACTCCTGGAGACACCATGTGGCTTCGGTGGGAGTTTGTATACCTGACACTCGATATCTATCCCTCACATGGGCTTATGTTTTTGCTATACATGCTCCTCTTTGCATTCAAGCAAAATTAAGCCCAGATTACTGTATATGAGTGGGGGGTGTGTCTCTCGATGGAGACCTCGTCTCCGTCTGGAGAACCTGTCTCCATCCCGCACATGGTGGAGCCGCGGAGACGCTGTCTTCATCCGGAGATATTCTGGTTTCCTGATGTATGTGCGGCTATACTGGAACAGACGTTCCTATGAGCCTATGTTACCTATCCAGCCTAAAGATCACTTTATAGGAACCCGCGTGTTTCCTGATATGCAATGCAATCCTCCCAATAAATTATGGGACGCATATCACGTGCGCTGCGCGGGCCGGTGATAACCGGCTTCTGCAAGGGTCGTTGGGCGACATATATGCATTGTTACCTGTCCCTGCGTTGAGTTTGTAGTGTAATGGTTGCGCGTTCGTCTCATGGAAGCAGAATTGTGATATGTTGTGGGTTCGAACCTTGTTAGCGCCTTTTGATCCTCATTTCGGCTTGTGCTCGTGGTCTCCTGCTTTTAGATGCTGTTTTGATGCTCTGCCAGCTCAAACTCTAAATATTAATGTTGTCATGAGGTAATGCTTTCACCCGGAAATTCCATTGTCTAATGAGCAACCACTGCTACGTGGCGCACATTCAACCATTTGAAGTCTGAACCCTGGCACCAGCAAGGCATAAATATGAGCTTGCCTACTAAGTTTGCTTTATTAAAGCCTCTTTCCTGAGTGATGAAAGACCCTGCTCCCCTATTAGAATTTAAGTAGTGCATACTTGGAGTGGCAGCTACAAGTAGTATAAGACACAATCATGATATCAAATTTCTGACATTATTACTGTGTATACAATAGCAGTGGGCCGCCTATAGCACATGAGGAGCCCCTTGAAATAGCCTTTCGCCTCTCAATTTGCGGTCGGACGCGGTTGTGGCGCCTTCGATGCGCGTGCCGAATGCGTGGAAAGGGGCACGTGACTTGCGTCCCGTAACTTATTGGGAGGATTGCATTCAGTGTTTCCTGATGGGGCGATGTGCTCACGTACGTAGAATGCCTTCTCGTTTGTTTGTGTATTCAGTGGTTATTGTTGAACTAGGCGCTGACTTAGCGGCCAGGTTCTACAACGTACCAGAACATACCGGAACCCTCTGGAATACTCTGGTATATTCCATTATTGTACAATGGCACAGAACTCATGTGGGTCAGTGACATCATAGGTGGAGCTCAGTAGGATTATAGATATTCCACGTAGCTTAGTCAGCCTATGGGCCACTGTGTATATAAACCCTGCAGCTCTGCTGTCTAATGACAAGGGTCGTTCATACGAGCTTTACCAGTAGCTACAGCATCCAACCAATACAGGTGAGCTGTGTAGGGCGCACTGTGCGTGCTGCTGCCTCCATAACTCTTCATCAGTTATTAAAAATACCAGATGTATAGATGACGCTGTGCTATACTTAAGGAGGCGTATGGCTCCTGCTCCATGCTGAGTGATCATTGTCAAGTTCAATACGCAGTCGTCGAATCGGGGGTGGGCAAGAAAGTTGAAGAAACGCCCTCACTAGAAGTACCCACACGGGCCGTCGAGGGCGACCTCTCTCCTCGCGTTACTTACGGCCAGGACTCACTAAATCATTTGCCCTATAAGGCGTCATCCGCTCCCATAAACATCGTAGCGTGACCACATCCATTCTACACGGGAACGCAGCCACCGGAGATCTAAGTATAGGACTGAACGACGAATACTGGTGCCGCAGGAAACTTTTCTGTAAGCCATACAGGCGAGAGGCAGCCGCGACCCATATCTCTTATGTGAAATATCCCATCGACTGCTGACTCCAACTTGTCGTCCGTCGCAACTTTTAATTCGTCAAATTCGTAAACGAAGACTAGACGCTTCCGCGCATTTAATGCCTTCTGCTGTTCTTGCATGAGGGCGTCTTCGGGACTAGAGGACGAAATCGAAGGACATGCGTCGCTGCCATGTAGACAAGAGATGGTGTTTCGTATAGTTGGAGACGCTTGATGCCCAATTGCTACGTTATCTTGACTACTGCCGCTCTGTATTGGGTAGAATAAGGTGGAGTATAACACAGAAAACAGAGACAAGCTCACCTGACTGTTCATGGCACTCTGCTTCTCGAGAGAACTCAGCGATACAATAGCGACAGAAACCGTGTCACATTGACGTAGACGTTGTACGAAAGCAGAAGCGCCGCCCGCGTGGGATCCTCCCAACATAAGTTGGACGATGTGGTAGCCTGCTGACGATCGACCGCTGTCACTTTCAGCAGCTTGAAAGGAGGCAGAGTTATAGAGGCAGAAAATGGTGTTGTACTGAGGCAGGTCTCGCGCAACTTGGCAAAGCCGATCTCTCCATTCAGAATGAGGGGTAGGCTGACCAATGCTGAGGCCGGTAGAGACTCCTGCTGGGATGAGAAGCGTGTGCCTGTTGAACTGCTGCATATGACGGACCAACTCCTCTTTGAGGCCCTCCGAGGGAACTGTTCGCACAAACGGAGTGATTGGATACTTCATGGCCTTGCCAATGTCTCCAACGGACGACACAAAGGCTCCCGAAGACTCGTTCTCGTATTCTCGACGCTTCCCTGATTCGCTCAAGCGATCTCCTCCATGGAATTGTAGGGAATCGGCTGAGTGGCATTTGTGAAGATAAAGGGCATGCATTGCACATCCCAGTGTAGCTTGATCGGGAACATCATCTGTGACGTTTAGCCATCCAATCAGGCCTGCCCAGAAACCCAGAATGGCGATATCCTCCAGTTGGGTAGTGGTGACGATGCTCCTGGCTATGCATGATCTAAGAGACATGTTCTGAAAGGCCGATTTGCCACAGCTATCAGCCTCGCGGTGCATGCAAGCCCAGGAAGTCCGAAAGCGGGCGGGATATATTAGACCTGTCAGGGGAGTGATGACGACGGTAAGCACGATAGCATGCACCACGAACATGGCGAAAACATGGCCCGTGAAGATTCTTGCTTGAAGTGCTAAGTTCACAACGATCAATTCTAGCAGCCTGATACAACGACGGTGAGGAGCGATGCCACTATGAATTCCAATTGATGTGCATACCCTTTGCAACTCATCAATGTCCCGATCGCACTTGATTCTCTCCAAGTGAATCCTAGAAATCTTGATGCGATCCCACAACCAATGAATTTGCCCATATATGCCATCAAGCACACAACACACGTAAATCCCCAAGACTTGCCATCGTTCAGTAGTCCGAGGTCCGTCTTCAGTCCAGATAAAGCAAAATACTGGAGTGGATGGCTTAGATCAGTCCGGTTCGCAACCTAATGACTTTGACATACTACGGGCAGAAAGATATTCCATACCACTGGTTCAAGGCGTTTCATGACGGTTATCGATAATTGCCGTTCTCTGGGTACGACCAAACCGGACAGGAAACCACCTATTCCGGCGTCAGTCCTCTGTTCTGTGTATAAGGGTGCAACTCTCACCAAATATGGCATGCAGGCCTATAATATCGGTGAACAAAGCAGACACCAAAAGCATCATGATGGAGCAAGTCATCATTACACTGGACAGGTCACCCGTCTCCAGCTCACCCGTCTTCCTACCAATCCATAGGAATAACCACCGTACGGGGTACATGAGGAAGACGGTATAACCGGCGCAGGTAAGTGCGATCCACAGCGCGGCAAGGCCACTGGTGGAATTAACCAGAGTCACAGCCAAGGCGAGTAAGATCCACCCAATGACATCATTTCCAACGCCTGCTGCTAGGACAACGGATCCAAGAGTAGTGTTAAACAGGTCGAGCTCTGCTAACATCCTGCAGAGAATGGGGAATGCAGTGATCCCCACTGAAATGCAAGTGAAAAGCAGAAAATAGCCAAAATCCACGGTTTGGTCTATGAATTCACGGTATAAGGGTATAGCCAACAACGAGCCGAAGGCGAATGGGGAAATCAATCCCGCCGCAGATATGACGATTGACAGTCGAGCATGTTTCTTGATGAGCTTCAAATCAATCTCTAGCCCAGCGAGGAACAAGAAGAGGACGAGGCCTAATGTCGCACATAGATTGAGGAGAGGAATCGACTCCTGCGGGAAGATCGTCGCGCTAAATCGTGGAATGCGACCCATAACGGTGGGTCCCAAGACGATTCCGCCTATGATTTCCGCTACTACCCTCGGCTGGCGCATACGCCAGAATAGCATATAGCATAATCGAGAAACGACCACAATGACGACTACGGTACAACATAAGGCTAGGAAAGCAGGAAGTAGACATTAGGTGTGACTGACCGACTTGAATGGCCCATAACTTGAAAGGATCGTTGAGGTCGTATTGGGTAGGATTAGATCCTGAAAGGATGCCTGCCTAATGTCCGATGAGTCCAGCGATTGCATGACTAGAGGAGTCTGACCTGGTTGGGAGTAGAACGGCGATGCCAGGGGGGACCGTTACGCAACGTCAACATAGTGAAGGACGCAGTCCGCCATGCCACCACCATCGTAGGAGTATAAATTGGGAATGTGCTGTGCAAAGCATACAGTAAAAACAAAGCATCAGTGAAATGCCATCAACGTGTCAAGGCGATAGAATGGCACCATGGACCACAATACACAAATTTTATGCCCTCGAAAGATGCCACGATAATTGTTGGTGGCACCATACAGGAAATCAGAAGGCCTGTTATACGCCTGACGAACAGGGTCTGAGCGGAGGCGGGCGGCAGATTCACTGACCGGAGATATGGAAATTGGTCAGTGGCGCCCCTATCAAGTGATATCAAACGACAGCAGGGGGTGCCATTCCGCTATTGCGGGAGGGGCGATACTAGCACTGGGACTGTCTCCACGGAACTTCGGAGTCAACCGTCAAATTTCCATGCGCCTATGTCCTGCAGTGCTCGAGCAGTCCAGACCTAGGCCTCGTACAGCTAAACGGGTGAGGAATCAGAAGGATGCAGGGCAAGATATTGATGCTCGGTGCCTTCCGCTATTCCAAGATCAAAAGTGGAAAAGAGCGTAATGGAGTGATTGCTGCAAGCAGAAACTAGAACCATCCGATTTCTTGTGCTCGCAGCATCACCACAAAAAGAAGGGCTGTCGCTGCGGGGCCTGTCCAGTCCGAGTGTCTCGTAGTAGTCCTGCATCCTATCCTATCATGAAGCCCTTGTTCTCGGCTTGTAAAACTTTGACGACCTCTTGGCGCATGGGCGCGTGGGCGCGTGGCAAAGCACCGAGCAGAGTTAACCTGGCGCAAACCTAGACGGGTAAAGGAGAAGGTAATGCTCCAAATGCACGAGGATCAAACAACATCTGGTAAATGTGCACCAGTCTCCGATGATTGCGGACCAGGGCTGCGAAGCCGGATGGAGGCAAGAACATACCGAAATGCCGCTCCTGTGATCCCACCCACGGGACAGGGATGCGAGTGCGTAATCACCACCGAGGTGAAGCACAGCCGGGAGATAGCGGAGGAATACCTTCATTGACGACATCTTGTGCCGCGGAACACCGCGGCGTATGGGTGCGATCTGGATGCTCAGCAGACAGGCGCGCGGCCTGTGTATAGTACCTGCCAATCTGGATACTGCAGGGCCACCCACGCCCTCCAAATCTTGATGTATTGTGTTGGCCCCTGTGGTGAACGACAGCTTATGTTTACAGGCATGAGCAGATAAATTCCGTACCATCAGATGGTCCCCGCTGTCATCTCGCTCATGATGCAGAATCAGAAATCTGGTGGAAACTAATCTGGCCATCAGTGAAAGAGCTACAGCCCCCGCTGGCAGGTTGGCTCGAGGGTAAGCTCCGCAGAGACCCTAGAGCTCCTTCACACGCGCACGGCGCAGGACAGTGCTCAATACCCAAGGAGCTAAACAACCTTGCCAGTGGCAATATACCTTGAGAATCAGATTCTGGTAGATGTATTCGTGACGGACAACGCAAACGCTCAGTACCGTCGGGCAAGTCGGATACCGGTAGTTTGGCAGCACGTCATCCTTTCACAGACCAGCCTGCAACTTGATGCATAACGCACTTCTGACACTGTGGTACTGCAGGCCCAGTAGATGCATGCCGAGTGTGAGGACAGGCATGGCTCTTCCTGGTGCACTGGCACTGGTCAAGTACATACACTGTGGGAAGGGAACCCGCACATCAGGAAAAACCTCCTGCCAGAATAAGGAGTAATAGCCTGACTTTAGCACTACAGTGCCTTGCATAAGAAACTGAACATTGCATTTCCGCGCGCGTTGTTTGTCCGCGCCAAATATGCCCTTTTTGGGTAACTTCGGAAGACCTCTCGCGGGACCCCTTGGCTAGGCAGGGAATCGCAGACACCTCAAGGGGGCTCGAAAGGCTTCAGAAAATGCATGATATGTCCTTTGTATAACTACAGTACGGACAGAATGCATATATCTTGCCCCCAGCTGTATGTCCAATCACTCTCCCTTTCGACGACTCCTTTGCCGCGCATTTGCCGATACCCGAAAAGGGTATATTTGGCGCGAACAAACAATGAGCGCGGAAATGCAATGTTCAGCTTCTTCCGTGAGATCTACGGTCCTGTGGCGGGGGAGCCACAGTCCATTACAGTCCCAGTTCCCACGCCATTTGGGACCCCGGCCTCTCCATTCCCCGTCCATCCCGGCCTGCTGGAGGGCCAGATACACGCCTCCCGTGCTTCAAAAATTGTATATACTTGCAAATATAATCTATGCTATTGTTAGTAATATTTGAGGGTTAAAAAAGCACATCAGGTGCTCGGGAACTCTGCGAACGCGCGGGTGAGGTAACCAGATATCTACCCGAGGGACTGTAAATGCCAAGGCTATGGACTGTGAATTTCGCCAGCGGAAATCGCGTCGTGGCGCGATTTGGCGCAGGCGCGCGCCAAAATCGACCCCCTCCTCAGCTAGGTTCGGGTCGGGAAATTCACAGTCCCAACTGCGGCATCACAGTCCACTCGGCACCCAGATCTGTGGCTTGCCCTGAGCTTTAGCTGACCTACTTGCTTGCTCCTGGTCTTTATTCCTTACTTTGCTGCACTGTACCATAGCTGCACATGTACTATAGTTCAACAAAATTTTATTCCGAATTTTTCACTCTACCGTACCCTCATGGAGGAGGCTGCATCTGCCCGCCTCCCGAGCTTGACTTGCAGCGGTGGCGGGGGTTGCTTATGTAATCCGATTAAGACCGTAAACTTTCCTATGATCAGATTCACTTCTTATGCAAGGCACTGTAGTGTAAGAGGCGGACATGTCACTATCCGGCATTTCAATGATCACCTTCAGTCAATGGCAGTGAGATCGACAACAGCATAGATTATATAAATGACATATGGCAGTGCTCTCCCATTCTTTTTGAAGCAATCACAGTAAATCGTCTCGGCGTCAGGTGTGAAAGTGTCTATGTCCCTAGTGCGACGGCTGACATGCCAGCTAGCATCCCTCTCGGTGCCACTCCAGCTCAGACCTCAAGCAGGAGAATTGTCGAAAGAGGACGCCACGAGGGGGTGTCCATGACGCACAAGAGGTGAGGGGGAAACACACGAGATAACCAGCTGGTCGGAGCTTTAATATCCGATGATCAACAGAATGCATCAGACGCGTCCCACGCTATGGGCACGTGAAAACGACCGTTTGTGACCACTTCCATGGATGTAACCGAACTTCGTGCTTTCAGGGAAGTATTTACGTGTTTTCTGGGTTTACTACCTGAAAATGAATGTTCGATATTATAAGCCGAGTTACTCCGTTTAGATTCCGTTAGTCCCTAATAAGCTCTAATCCTGACGGGAGGTTTTTCCTGATGCAATAAATTGTGCAAAGAATGCCGATGAAATGGAGTAGCCACTTATTTCGACCGGAGGGAAGTGGCAGAACCAATTATTTCGATGTTTGGCTAAGTCAATTCCAAGTGTGACATTTTTACTATTGGAGACGCGTGTCAAAGCCAATTATTTGGGATGCGTTGAGTAGTGCTTCACATCAGTAAACACGCGGAAGCCAGCATAGGTCAATGTAGGTTACAGAGGGCAGAGTGGTCTTTTGGTTTCCCCCCCTCCCCATAGGTCACTATAAACTGCAAGGATATATGAGAGGTCTTATATGGCTCAAAGGTAGAGGCAAATAGGTCATATAGTCACATAGATGGTGGAGTATAGGCCGCATAGTCAGGCATAGTTCAGTCATAGAAGGGTTCAATCATATAACATTCATATAATAAATTGGTCTCTAGCAGTAATCTACCGGATGCTTCATTCGCTGTCATATTCTACCCTGTGCAGCTCCCGCTCCCTCCTTGCCGCTGCGTAGTCATTGTTGACAAGTAGGCGTGCATCACCTTCATTTGTCTCCGGTACCTTCGCGCAACTCCTATGAAAGAAGCTCAGCAAATCACGTGCACCTCAAAGCAAGATAATGACTCACTGTGCATGTTTCAGCAAGTTTACTTGGATCCTGGCGACGACATCTAGATCTTTGGTCTTGAAGTCGAAGGTCTCAAGGGCGGTAAGCTGTGCATCGGCCGATTCCATAAATTGGATGTCCGTGCATTGACCGGTTATCCATTCGTTGAGAGCACATTGAACCTATGCAACCAGTTAGTGCAGGCCACAGGCAAAAAGTTAGGACTTACCGCCATCAGCACCAGGGCTATAGTCATGAGCGGTATCCCTTTGCGCGCGCACTCTCCACATCGCTCCATGGTGACCATGGACTCGAAGTACTCCGCGTACATGATTTCCTTCATCTGTACGGTTCGCATACCATGTTTCATTAATCACTGACTGAATGATAGGGTGCATGTATGCACCCTCCTGTGTCACCGGATCCTACAAATTTTGTAAGCATTTTCATTGTAGCAGAGGTCTCCTTACCTTGAAAATGAATGAATTGCCCTGCAGTAGCACTGCCACTTTGTCACACGTCTCTCGTGGATCCGCCTTCTGAGTCGCATTGTACAACTTGTAAAGGACCGGCACAAGGGTGCGGCACTTGCTCTTGACTTTGCCACGCAACTGTCACCCCGTGCCATTATCTAGATGTGGTTAGATCATCTAGAGCTGAGAAGACACTGTATGATGCACCAATGTACTGAGGCCATCTGTCAATGCCACAGACACATTCTTGCCTGAGCAAGCCTTCACCCAGGCATCCTTGGCATATGTTGTCACCTCTGTGAGGTCTGGGTATGGCCAGTCTGTAGCTATAAGGCTCTGATAATGGCGCTGAACGACAACAAGGAGCGACTGCTCAAGCATAGAGAAATTGCCGCCAGTCAAGCGGCCACGAGAACCACGGCCTGACATTGTCATCTTCTGCTTCTTCACTACATGTGTTGTCTCGATGGCGATCATTTCGGGACAGGTGCGCATCTTCGCAGTGGATGCGGGGGACTAGCAAGGTGCGGGGACATCTTCGGAGCCATGGTGAGTGAGAGGCTGCCCATGCTCATGGTAAGGAAGTGCATCCACATTGCGATGTCAGGATGGATGGGGGGTGCCAGGGCGTTCACGGGTGTTGCTCTGAGCAGCTGGGGTCACCTGAGACAGCCCACAAGCTCATTGCTGCACCATGTTAGGAAGCGATGTCCTAACTAGTCGTCTTGAGATAACTGGGCCACGTGCCAACAGTTATGTCGTCACTACCTCAGTAAGCGTACTGAAAGGTAGGTCTGGCCGGGCCAATGCCAATGGTCAAGTCAAGAGTCCAGGTAATCGCTGTATTCAACAGGAGGTTGAACTAAGGAATACATGGGTTTTCCTACAGTATATATAGTAACTGGTATAGGGGTTATTACCCAAAGAAGAGAACAATAAGAAAGGACGCGTAAGCCATCCTGTGAGAACATAACTCGGAGAAATGAGAAATACAAGGGCGCCCATTGGTAGAAGGTGAGTCAAGGGAGATAACATGTGAAAAGAAGATAGCGTCCATGGGAAGGTCTAGTCAGAGAAAGGTACTGTCCAATAGCAATGCTCGGAATGGAAATAGAATGAGATAAGCATGACAAAATCATAACAGACGGTCCATACCAATGGCCACTGCATCCACAGGGGCAAAGCGAATGCAAAAACAGGCAGCGGTGTATTCATCAGCCCCGAAAGCCCCTACAACCGCTCCATACGCCTCGGAGGACCAGCCCAGTCCACCCAGGCAGGGGGGATCTTGTCGGAAAGTGTTTGAATTCGTGTGCGGTGTCGCATAATATCTTCAATAGCCACCTTAGCTTTGTTCTTCGAACGGCCTGTACCCTCATGAAAGTAAGATTCAGATGAGGCTTTGAAAGAGTAACAAACTACTCACGGGGTAGAGGTAGTGTCTGAGCTTGCACCTGAGCCTGCCACTCACAACATAATGTTTCTTCGGCAATACCACACGGCTCAAGTATACTGGTAGCCTCAATGCGCTTGAGTTGACTCTGTGCCGTGTGCCCCGCAAGCCACTTTCCAAGTTCCATTCGAAGCTTTGTATCCCGGTAATGGACTTAGGCATCTAGTACGTATAATGGATGGTAGTACTTGAATGGAACTGTTAAACCAGGCGAATAGTAGAAATATGAATTCAACTCACTCCGGATGCACGCAGGCATGGAACTAGTCGCATAAGGGAAAGCCAGAGACGTTCACAGCCTTCCCCAGCCAAAAGCCCGAAGCCGTCACACTTGCAGGGATGGTATACAAATTGACAGGGCCACTGGTGCCCATACGCGTGGAATACTGAGATCGCGAAGGGTAACCTGTCAATATAATTTTCCAAGAAGCCAAACTTTATACAACTTCGGTGCAGAGCACACGTGATGTCGTATAGCAAGCCAACACGGATGTGTCGGAAGATTATCGAAGAGTTCCTTCAGCAGAGCGAGCGCATAAAACTGCCGCTCTCCAGTGGTGTGCATGTTAACCATCCATAGCACAATATTGTGGCGGCAGTTGAGCGCCATGATTCCGGTATCGTCAAAGAGCTGGGTGCTTGCTTTCTGCCGCTTCTCGTCAGCAGCTGTAAAGGTGTTTTTGCACTCATCGAGAGCAGACTTCGGAACCTTCAGCGACCCCTCAAAACCATCTTTGTCGGGACCAGGAGCGCCTTGGGGGGGTGCCCTTGACCGCTGCGTACGCCGGCGCAATACTTCCTCTTCCATGGTCTTGACCTTAGCCTCCGAAAGCCAGACCGTGTCCGGATGCACATTCTCAGGATCCCGCGGAGCTTTGCGCCGCTTTTGCGAGAAGCAAGCATCCATCTCGACAATGTACTCCACACTGTACAGAGGTATTGCTCAGTTTGCTGTTTCTAGTATTAAAGGATATATTGCACGTACTGGAACGATTCATCATGGGTGGTAATGCCCCCAAAGCAAGCCGGACAGCGAGATCAAAGATATTCACTAGGCCGTGTATGACCCTCTGGCACCTGGGGAGATGGACATTATGATGCACTCTCGGGCACTGCCTGACATGGCAAGATTGGCGGAGCAGGGCGCGACCAGCTGATGTACTCCGAGACTGTGTGCTCGGCTCTATCCTGTAGACTACGGAGATTCTACACTTTTTTAAATGCTCACCACGTTCAAAAAACTACTGTTTGTTTGCGACTTATTGCATAGGTACACAGATACCATCTATTACTCAAAAATCGAACAAAAACACTATTCTATGGACTCGAACGCATCCCCAGACCCGCCGACATTCATTGATGGTCAAGCGGCGCGATTACTGTTCCGCCCTTCATCGACCCCAGCACGATTCATGCCAGCAAGGCCGAATCGGCGAGGTGCATCCGGTGTTTGGCCAGCTAGCCGCATAGAGGAAGCTGCAGACCGAACTGACAGGATCATCCACCAACTGTCAATGCAGGCACTGACCTCGAATTCCTACGAGGAGATATCGGCAATCGTTGAACAACTGGAAGAGGAGTTGGACTGGTTTAGGGATACAGTTCGAACTGAGGCTGCGAGTAGGAACCGGGAGATTAATATGGACGAAGGGGACCGTGTACGACGGACTATGCTTAAAGGTGCGGAGGCCGTTAACTCGCTCACGGCTAACCTCGATCATATGGAGGCTTGATGTGTAAAACGCGAGCTCGAGATGAGGTCTCTGATCGCTAGACGCGCTACAACACATCCGCAGAGAGTACGACCTGCCACCCCACGTCCGTCGCACAAATCGAACCCGTCATCACAGGCTATACCTAGTCCACCCGATACTCGCCCTGACGTTCAGCAAAATGTTGATGCGCAAGTCAACCCGGTGCAAATACCTATTGCGGAGCCGACCCCCATCCCAATAGCAGCTCAACAGCCGCCATTCGGACTGCCAGGACTACCGCATCCCCCGCCGACCGGGGACTATCGCACCGAGCGCATCCACCCGTATACGAGCGCCCTTTGGAAAAATGCCGGGTTCGTTCGATACTTCCCTGTGACCGGACAAACTGGCACAGGGAACGCCAACGTTGCTCCAGAATATAGTATTGCAGCGAGGACAGGAGGAGCCATCCCGGCAGATGAGCAAGGCTCACGCCGAGGAGCAGAGCCCCCGCCTGCTCCAATGAATACACCTATGTAGGCTCGTGACCACCCTGTCGTACCGCTATTGAGGGCAGAATATCGGTAGACAGGCTGGTACATTTGGCGTGGGAATCCAGTATACGCGTCGTTAACTCTAATTCGCCGACCGGCTGCTTACATTTTGGCAGCTGAGTTTGTCTGAGTTGAATTTTCGCCCTGCCCTCAAGTTGATCGGAATCTGACTAGAACGAGTTTTGTAGTCCGCAAGATCTCAAGACTTAGCGCGTCCCAGAGACGAATTCCTGCAGCCTTCCCGTGCCGTACAACTCACCGCCACACAGACATGTCAAACAAACATCGCAGACCTATCACTGCGGTGGAAAGTTTCTCTTGCCATGATAGCTGCGCCAGGAAATCATCGGAGAGCGCAGGTAGACCCTTCGGTAAGGTCTAAGTAATATACAGAAAAATCAGTCCGGAGTTCGTTTTCCAAGGGCCCGAAGGTAGACATCTATGGCATTAATCTTGTCCATGATTATAGGAGCATATTGTATCCAAACATCTAATGAGCGTTGGACGAGGGAGCGGCAAGGAGTGAGAGACTTCACAGCGGGCGCGACTTGTAGTCCGACTACAACATTTCTAATGACACTATAAAGCTAGTTGTATTGGACTACCAGGGTTCTTACTCGACTACGAAAGGCGCATTCGGCAGACTTCAGCAGGGTTCGGCGGACGTCGGCAGCAACGGCAGGGCTGCGGCAGGAAGATAACGACGCATATACTGGATTCCCATGCCAAATGCACCAGCCTCTAAAACATAGATTCTGCCTCAATCTGTTGTAGAGGGTGGTTACGAGCCTAACACCTATGGACCAAATCCCAACTCAGCAAAGTGGGATTGGCCATCTGGGCCCGGCAGAGTGGACGCAATACATCGGCGATACGGGCATGGTATTGGACTGGCAAACAGATCCTGTTATTCAGCAATCCATTGGTAAACTATTTGCTCCTCGTCAACCAAATGAGGATCAAGCTACGTTTGATGGTAGGGTGGCGGCCGTACAACGGCTGACCAACCCTCCCAATCAGCCAACACCCAGAAATGGACAGCGCGATCGGAGCCAGCACAGAGTGCGGCCCAACAAATTCACTGTCAATTATGATGCTGCTCAGAGTGGACGGAACATAGGTTCAAGCCCCAACCATACCCGTCCCCTGAAGCTGGAGGGAGTATCTCCAGAAGTGCCTTCCTCGACGCAAACACTTACGTCGAACCAAAATTGTTGCAACGTGACACGAGAAGCTAGTCAGGCCAGCGTCCACTCAACTTCTCCTCAGGACGTGAACATGTGTTGAACCGTTGCGGCGACAGGCTACACTAATGAGCCTCAGGCCATTAGGACTGTGGCTCGCGGAAATGAGATCAACAGCAGTACGATTTACCTCGATCAGACTCATGGCATACATCAAAGTAATACGTCTCAGCCCACTGCACTCATACCATACTTACGTGCTGCGCGAGGTGCCAATTGCGGCAACCCCGGTGGCGACCCGTCCGACGACGGTGATGATGATCGTCAGGGATGAGGTAATGGTGACCATCGAGACTGCCCACCTCACTTACCTCCAGATAATGGCTGTAGATCACATCCACCAGACCGAAGACCTGTAGGGCAACCTCAAATGGCTCTGGCGGTGGTGGCAGAGGTGGAGGCGGAGGCGGAGGTGGAGGAGGCCCAGAAGACCCCCCTGACCCAGGCCGACGTCAACGACGAGTCGCTGTGGTAGTACCTACAGGTGCAGGAGGTGGAGGGGGCGGAGGAGATCCACCAGGAGGAGGTGGAAACCCTCCTGGGGATGACCCCCCTGATGATGATGGAGATGACGACGTCAATCCCAGGAACATTGGGCGCCATAATTGGCAGCGAGCAGCTACTCCCGCGCACAAGTACGAGGACGAACTAGTAGAGAAAGCATTGATGATGATACGTAGTGCGCGTCGAAGGGCTGCACCCTATACTCCGGAGACATGAAACTTTAAGCCAGCCACCAAAAGGTTATATGATGGCAGGGCGGATATATGTTTCTTTGAAAAGTGGCTGTCAGACATATTGACAGACTTCGACCTTATGGGCATAGGGCATGATAACTATGATCGCCAGCATGTCTTACTCGTATCTAAATATTTTTAAGGCAATGCCGCCGAATGGTTCTATCAGGAAGTCCAGGATTACAACCGAGAGAAAGACGAATGGACTTTCCCTGAAGTCATAGTGGGACTAATCCGTCGCCACCTCTATGTAGCCACTTCCAGGGAGGCTGACAACATGTATGAACGGATTACATATTCAATGAAGCATGGCATTCAGTGCATGGTAAATGAACTCGAGTACTGGGGACGCAGACGAGCTGCCAAGCCCCATGAGTATGACATGAAGAAATGTATATTTGACAGTATCCCCGACTGGATCCACTATGACTGCTTATATGTTCGACTGCTGACTCCCGAGGAGAGTCCATTGACTACAGGAGTCGAGCACATAGAGGCCCTGGAAAAAGCTAGCAACTATGAGAAGTCTACATTCAATGCTAGCAGTGTGCATCGAGGATCTCGACCACCCGCACCTACTCGGTCCAATGCTCACCAGCGAGCGAAGCCAACACAAGTCGCTCAGCCAACACCCCAATCCCCAAATATGTCGGGAACTGGGCAGCAACAGCGGACGGGTGATAATGCACGATGGTCTCGTCCTCAATGAAACTTCCAGCGTCCTCGACAACCAGCTCCAGCTGAAAACAGTCGCTTCATTCCTCGTCGAACTACTCCGGCTCCTCAATGACCTAATCAGGATCATAAAGATGCTCCACGAGGAGCGACTAGTGGCCCTACTCGTCAAGCGACGAGTACAGACTCATGTTTCCGCTGTGGTCAGAAAGGACACTCCAGCAAAGATTGTCCTACTTGACCAAAAGAGTGTATGAGAGCCATGGATGACAATCAGGGCGAAGATGTTGCAGAGACCGTCCAACCTGAAATGGAAGATGAGTATGAAGCACTGGAAGGTGATGGGTTAGCTGAACCCCTCGAGGAGGATGAGTACGACTTCTACAATCAGGAATATGATGGTGACCAATATGACAACGACGAGCCTGAACCTGACGACAGAGTTGGGCTCATGCACTACGATGATGATGAGGCCAACATCGCCGACTTTATACTGTTGGATGGTGGCGAAAGCCCTTATGAGTATCTTACCGCCATCCGTGATCTATCGGATGAGGAGATATTATCATCGGGTCATAATGCATGGGCAGATCACTATCCTGAGTTATCTACTCAAGGAGTCGGATCTAGTACCCCGGACTCGGATGACAAGACAGCGCATACAGTATTCGTTGGAGATGATCCATCATCCAACGAATATGAGATGTCGGTTGGTCCAGTGCCACCACTGGTTAGTGATCTTCAGCGCCAAATAGATGATCTCGAGTTTGAGAACCAGTTATTACGGAAATCTAATGAAGCACTTGGCCGGGAGAATGATCAACTGACTATGGATAACCGTGCACTGCTACAGAAACTCGGGATATGCAACACCCTTAAAGACGATATCTTAAGGTTACGAGCGCACATCCAGGAGTTCGAATCCCAGGATGTTCCGCCGTATATCTTGGCCATTGAAGAAGTTAAGACACCTACAACTTCTGCGATCACTACCCCCGTTGATGGCGACTTAGTGCCAGTACGTAGCCAATTGGTGTTACGTGATATGCCAGGCAATCGCCCAACACGAACAAATTCAGAGCATCAATGCATGACTGGCTACATCCACATCAATGGTATCATGGCCCATGCATTGTTTGATTCGGGCAGCATGCTTGACTGCATTAGCCCAGACTTTGCGTGTATTGCGAATATCATGTGTTTTGAGCTGAATAACCCCACATCCCTTCAGCTCGGCACTGTGGGTAGTTGCTCGAAGGTCAACTATGGTGCTCATTTAAAGCTTTCGATTGGCGGTCACTCCATTGATCACTATTTTGACGTGGCTAATATCGACCGCTATGATATTGTAATCGGCACACCGTTTTTGCGCGCAAGCCATACAATTATGAACTTCAAGGATAATACGTTATCGGTATTCGGGAAGATCGTTCCCTCACCTCCAAAGGGGGAGGGACAGGTGCATACGAATCGTATAAAGAGCAGGAAGCCTGCCAAGGCGGATCAATCCAATAAACCAGAATGAATCCCTGGCGCAGCGACAGTCGCACCGCGGCCAAAACGGCGAGTAACTATTGAGGAAGTGCCAGATGAGGAATTCACAAGGCCTCGTCAATACTCGTCTGGACCATTACTGGAATTAGTTGAGGATGACTTAAATCAACCAAATACTAATGATTCGTTATATGGTAATCAACCTGGTATCGGTAATACTAAAGGACCTATTGAGGACAAATCTCAGCCTAAGGATCCTCCTACACCAGACGCAGAGACACAGAAAACTCGACGAAGGGTCCCAGTCAGGCAATCCAGCAAATGGATGGGCGACGTGAATCAGAAAATACCATCGTTGGGTATGGATTTCGCGCCTACACTTCACTCATCATATGATGGTCCTCGAGACAAGTACGGCAATGAAGACCCGTTTGGAATTAATGAGTCAATATTGGACACATTCGAGGAATGTATTCGGCATGCTCATGAGCATGGTGATTTCACTGAAGAAGACATTCCACGACTTAGAGAAGAATGGTTGGAGCGGTGTAAAGATCTAATGGGAGATATTCCATTGAGACTACCCCCATTGCGGCCTATCAATCACCACATTCCTCTCAAGGATGATAATGCTCAATATAATTATCATCTGCCTCGTTGTCCGGAGTCGATGCGACCGTTTCTTTTAGCCAAGATCGAACAGTATAAATCTGCGAACTGGTGGAAAGATGTTACAGTCAGCCAAGCTGCTCCTCTTCTATGCATTCCAAAGACCGATGGTCGTTTGAGGACAGTGGTGGATTGCAGACAGCATAATGACAACACGCTGCATGACATAACACCATTTCCAGACCAAGATCAGATTCGTATGGATGCTGCGAAGGCTAAATTCCGCTCGAAATTGACATGTCGGACGCTTATGAACAAATCCGAGTCGAGCCAAAGGACGTATGGAAAACGGCATTCGCCACTATCTACAGTACTTTTCTCAGCTACGTTATGCAGCAAGGCGATACAAATGCGCCGGCTACATTCCAATGACTTATGACATTCATATTTCGTGAATTCATTGGAGTGTTTGTACATGTCTATCTGGACGATATCTTCGTATTTTCGGACTCTATTGAGGATCATGAAAAACACTTAGGAATGGTATTTGATCATCTCAGGCAGTATCAATTGTACTTGAGTAAAACTAAGTGCAACCTCTATTCGAAGCGAATGGACTGTCTTGGTCATGTAATTGATGATCGTGGACTTCATTGGACTCAGACAAGATGGTGCGCATACGTGAATGGAGAACGCCTCATAACTTCAATGAAGTACAGTGGTTCCTAGGCCTTGACTAGATGGATGGAGTACTTAAGTCGATTCGACTACACTATCCATTATGTTCAGGGCAAATCAAACAAAGTGGCTGACTGCTTTTCGTGTTACTACGAAAGCGATAATGTCAATGATTTGCAACCTGAGGATGAATATGTTGCTGCAGACAGGCGTCTTGATCCAAATGGAGAAGATTTGCCTCCCGTTCGGCTTGAAGAACTTAGAGCTGCCACCGTTGGTCCTGAGTTAACAGGAGGCCCATTGCCGAGATGATCACAGCGTCTTAGAGACTTAGTGACTCAGGAATCTCGACGCAAGGAAGCTGAGGAGATGGTTCAATCTGCAGTCACTAAGGTCAAGCCGCCTAAGGAATCTAAGATACTTTCTGATGATGCACGCGCCAATGACGACGATGACGACCCTACTATCGCCAAATCAATAGCAAGTCGTAAATCACCTCACGAGGTAATCGAAGGTGATCGTTGCATAATGACAGCTATCTCAAATGGATATGCTGAGGATGAATTTTTCTCGAAATTGAATAAGAATACTGCCCAAAAAGCATTCGTATTCAAGAACGGGTACATATGGCGCAATCTGCCTGACTCTACATTCGCGCTATGTATCCCTCGCGTCAAATTTGAGAAGCGTCATATCAATGAAATCGTGTTAGGCCAATGTCATAAGACAATCGGACACTTAGGCGCTGATCAAACATTCGCATACGTACATCATTGGTACTGGTGGCCCAAGATGGGAGACCAAGTTGAATGATACTGTGCATCGTGTGGTACTTGTCAGACCACAAAGGACTCACCTAAGCAACCCATGGGACTACTACATTCTATGCCGATACCTACTCGCCCATGGGGATCAATCGGTATGGACTTTGTTGGACCTTTCCCGCCGGTTGAAGGATATGATTACCTATGGGTCGTGATATGCCGACTAACATCCATGATACATCTGATTCCTATGAGGACCACTGCCAAAGCATCGGACGTAGCTTGGCTATATTATGACCGCATAGTTCGGCTTCACAAGATGCCTGATACTATCGTATCAGATCACGACTCTAAATTCACGGAGAAGTTCTGGCCAGAATTGCATAAGCTTCTAGGCACTGGGTTATTAATGTCTACAGCATTCCACCCTCAAACCGACGGAGCTTCCGAACAATCTATACAAATGGTGTCTCAGATCTTACGTGTGTTAGTTAATGCGAGCCAAACCGACTGGGTTGAGAAAATCCCCATGGTTGAATTCGCAAAGAGCACTGGATACGCCCCATTTGAATTGAACTATGGAACTATGCCGCATATTGCCACTACATTGGACCCTGAGCCAGTCATGCCAGGCGTTCGACAATTTGCCGAACGCGCTCTGTTGAACTTAGCGCACACGCACGATGCAATCATTGAGAGTCGTGTTATTCAATCTCATTACGCCAATCAACGATGTCGACCTGATGAGGCAATTACCCCAGGCGATCTAGTGTATCTGTCCATGGAGAATCTTAATTTACCTAAGGGTCGGGCTCAGACGTTGATGCCCCGATTCATTGGTCCTTATGAAGTTGAGGAGAGCGACCCCACTAAGTCTACCTACAAACTTAAATTACCGCCCGAACTGGCGAAGAGACGTATTCACCCTACATGTCATGTGAGCAGGCTTAGACAACATGAAGGGAACGACAATAATCTATTCCCGCATTGCGAATCCTACACTGCATATGACTTCGGAGAGCCGAAAGACGTTGAATGGCTCATCGATGGAATAAAAATGCGCTACAGCTACTTGTACAATGGCAAATAGGAGAGGCCACATGGGAGCCATTATCCTCTTGCAATGAGCTCGAGGCACTAGATCATTATTTGGAGCTACAAGGCGTCAAACGGCCCGAGGAGTTACCCCGGAAAGGCGCCGGCGAAAGGCGCTCACGTCGCTGACTAATGAGCGCCTACTCGTCAGCGCTAATCGGCAACTCCCGCCAGCGCACGAACAATAGCGTGGCGGGATACGAAGCGGAGTTCAAAGTCACTTGAACTCGAATGCCGACCTTTTGCTTGCTGCTCAACACCTTGCTATCATGTGTCACCGTAACCCTATGCCCGCCGCTATCATTAACCGAGGCGCCAACCTCCCGACTACTTTGGAGGCTTGCCATCAGCACATCGCCCAGCTCGAGGAGACCAATTATATTCAGTTTGTCACGCTTGAAAACACGCGCGGCGACCTCGAAGAGGCTTGTCACTCGATCCACCTATGCCGGCGCCGCTATCAGTACAATACCCAGCACCAAGATATTCAGTGCTGCGAGGAGGGACACAACTCGAATAGCGGCCCCCGCAGGAACTCAGGAGGGAAGAGGTTTCGTGAGCCCGATGGGGGATTCAACGAGCCTGAGCATCCGCCCAAACGTACGTCCTCATCTCTTCAACCTTCGGACGCAAGGGACGACCGCGACAGGCGGCCAGTCTCCAACCCGCCGGAGGATCGACGACTCTGGACGCCGGGACAACAGGAGTCTCCTGCGCCTGAGCAACGCGCCGCGACGGCCGCGTCGTTGTCTGACTCGGGCTGGGGTCGAGCTGCGGTGCTTATGGCATGGTCTGCAGGCCGAGACTGGCCTGAGCAGTCCAAGGGGGGAGGGACAGGGACGAATGAGACGAGGGCTACTTGGGGATCGAGCAGCGAGCATGTAGCCCTGCCTACTCTGAGCACCGCGACCACCGAGGGCGCGAAGACTATGCCCACTGCGCCGCCGGCCTCGAGCGCTGACCAGCCAGCTATAGCGGCGGCGGCAAGTGACCAGGCCGTCGCGATCACGCCGAGCTCATTCTACGAGGCCCCTACCACTGCCGCCTTCATCGAGCTCGTCAAAAGACGGCCGGAGATGGCGCCCCAAGGGTTCCAGAAGGGTCAGACCGACACCCTCGCATCGTGCACACGCTGGTGGCATTATTTGCAGCACGCCGGAGGGAAGCTCGAGGACACGGATGCGTTCATTAATGCGACCTTGCACTTCATTGCGTCGGGACGGTGTCGGTTAGTTTTGCTGCCTAGATTTTAAATACCCAGAACCTGCTAGGTAGACTAGGAAACAAATACCAAGAGAATGCTGGATATATCGTTAATTGAGCAGTTCCCTTTTGTTCGATTGAGAGACTGATTCTGAGTTGTTCGAACTATCAGCAAAGAAAAAAATGAAAGCTGACTACCAGAGTCTAGCAGAGGATGTGTATAAGAGTAAAGATATTGAAGTCAAACGTATAGACTTCAACAGGTGTGTCTCAGACTAGGAATTTCCCCCTCAATGTAGAGAGTCGTCGTAGAAATCCAAGTAAGAGATAAATCGATTGCAAGACTGGTACGGCTACCAGTAGTGCTACTGACTGATACTGAGTCGTGCTGATTCTGAATGATACTGTCTCTTGTAGCTACCCAAATTTCTCTCCCTTTTATACCTTTCCAATTCAAGCTCCTCTTCAAATCCCCAGATGAGTTTGAATATGAAGACAATAGGGTGAGAGAACAAGAAACAAAAGTAACTATAGCAACGACTTGAAAATG